TTTTTTTTTTTTTCGAAATACCTTTACTCACCCGAACCCCCCCAACCAAAAGTTTGTTTTTATTTTTATTTTTTTTTGTCCGAGGGGGTGGGGCTGGGGTTGCGCCGCCCCATGGCGCTTCCCGAATCCCCAACCCCCCTCCCCACTGGCCGCCACGTAGCTTCTAAGTCGCGCGTCCGCGGATTCGGCCGCGCTTGGCCGCCACCGACGGGGATTCATAGGTGCAGATTGATCATCATCCTGGCGGCTGCCTGGGCACGATATATATATATATATATATATATATCGTCACAAACAGAACTGCCCGGTAAAACCGTAGGCAGAGAGAGAGAAGAGGACAACAAACGAGGGACTGTGACAAACTGTATATATATATATATATATACAGACAGAGAGAGAGAGAGAGAGAGAGAGAGAGAGAGAGAGAGAGAGAGAGAGAGAGAGAGAGAGAGAGAGAGAGAGAGAGAGAGCAGGTCGTGGGGTTAAGGCTCAACAAGCACAAAATGCCTAATCTCGTATAGAACAATCCAAGGTAAGGTTCCAGGTTCGGATCTCGGCATGCGCAGTCAAGGGGAAACGCACGGGCACGTGAGGGTCTGGGATGGAATCCTCGCAGGCAAATGAACATGAATCCTTTCACTGGCTGGGCCCGGGACATTAACGAAGAAGGAGAGAGAGCCGGTGGGGGCAAACGCTCTCCATGTTTCAGCCATAGCTGCTCACGATGAAGATGGGTTGTTCTGGGGCTTGGGAGGACGATGGGAAGTGGAACAGCAATGTGCAGTGGGGCTTACCTGATGGTGACCGAAGAGCATCGTTAGGGATGAAGAAGAGCGGAAAGATTATGAGAGAAGAGAGAGAGAGTGTAAAGTAGAAAGTAGGCATTGTACGACAGGAAGTAGTACAGGCGGTTAGAGTGCAGAGAACATCTATATGTTGTTGTTGTTTTGATATTTGAAGCCGAGTTGCTGGGCTTTTGTATCAGGAGACTCCAACATAATCGTGTTCTCATTTGGTGTGATTTTGGCATGTAATCTGCTTTCAACTTTACTCTCGTATGCTTGCTGTACTTCGTCTTTCTCTGCAAAGGAAAAATTGAATGTTCATCACTTGGTTCCTCGCAAATTCTTTGGAGGACTTTGGAAATACCAGAATTTTACTAACAGCATAATGCGTCTTTTGATTTATTCACAGAACTCCTTAATAAGACACAAGAGGACTTTACACAATTGAGCAAATTAGACTATAATTTGGCACTCTCTTTTCCTGGTCCGGAATAGGCGCTGTGAGTGTGCCCTACCACCTGAGCCGCACATCACGAGTCTTCAGAGTCAATGCAAGCCAAGCAAGTGTGATAGCAGTTTCTCACACCGTAGCTGGCCAACAATAGGGGGTGCAGCTCAAGAGGAACAGGAGGCTAGTCCGGCAGAATAGCACCCACTTTTGGAATGAATGCACATAACCTGAATGCCCAGTGTTTGCAGGAAGAAAGGGTCTACAACACTATAGAAACTGCTAATCGACATAAGGAACCGCCCGGGTTGCAGGACGATCATAATCGCAGACAGCACAGATCTCACACTGATCAGAAAAAATTATCGTTGCCCTGCCATCTGGGCTGTTCACGCGAACGGACAGCTAAGTGAGAAGTTTTTC